GGGCTGTCTGCTTGCTGGCAAGTTCACAGACCAGCCACCCTGAGCCGAGTCCAAAGGGCAGCTCTGGGATGTGCAGCTCGGTAAGCAGGACTTGTGTTTTCCAGCCTGGAAGAGCTCTCTGAGAGCCAAGTGGGACGCAAAGCCCGTGTACGTGGTGGGAAGCACTACGGCGTGTCTGGGTAAGCGGCTGGCGTTCCAGTACGAGTCTCGCAGCAACTGAGCTTTGTTTGCTGCGGAGGGAACAGGGGCTTCCATTCTGGTATTTCTGTTTACGAAACGTGAAAGCCTACCCGTTAAACGTGTAGCACTCACTGCCGACCGGGGGCAGTGCGACAGATGGATGCACTCGTGCTAAATGGCTCCCGGCATAATGGGTTTAAATGCTCTTGAGACCCTCGGCCAGCATTCCTTCCAAATCTGTTAGAGTGTGTGCGCCCTTTACCCTGCGATCCCTGTTCTGGTCAACCTTCCAAGGGCAGTATGCCCAGACTGGGTGTAACACAGTTATCTGTGGCCATGGAAAATGAGGGCTCCCCCCAGCCTGCCATGTCCTGAAACAGGGGAGTAGTTATGTGCAGTGAGTGCCCTGCCCTCCCCAAGGCACTGCCCGAAAGTCCCTTCCGATGCACAGCAGTTGTGCTGGACGGAGAGGAGCTGCCCCGTAGGGCTGTCATATTTACTGAAGCCGGCGGCCTCCTCCGTCTCCCCAGGAGCAGCTGGTGGACTCAAATGACTGGCCTTTGGGTTGGCAGCTGGGTGCTTTAATTTCTGTGCCACCAGGACTGTGTCCTCCGCGGGGCGTCTTTGCTTCTGCATCAGCTGGTGGCCCCGGGGCCTGGTTGTTTACAAAGAGATGGGAGGGCGTCTTCAGTTACAAAAAGAACCCCCAAACTCAAACCTATCATTTATGAAGGGCATTTCCCACCACGTCTTACATGGGACAGTGACAACACAGAAACAGACTCATCACCCGCAGGGGGGAGGCCATCAGCACAAAGTCATGATGGCCTCTGGGGAGTCCGCATGGGACCAGCGAGCACCACAGATCCATGCTGGATGGCAGGTCTGTCACAGGGGGCTGCGGAATCAGGAGCGCAGCATGTCCAATAAGAACTTACTAGCTTGGTCCTGGGGCACCCAACCAAGGCAGTTATCACTCATGACTGTGCAAGCGCCAGTCCTAAGGCCCAGCCTGGCAGCCCCGAGGAGAGACCGCCCTCCCTGGGCTGTCTGGAGGCCTGCAGAGGGGTAGAGGTGACCCACTTTCCAGGGCACTCTGCCCGAGGGCAAGATGATAGATGTCCTTGGTCAGTGATCCTGAGGAATCCGGCAGAGGCTTAACCTTTGTGGCCGTCACTGCCATCCACAAATGGGTGCTCAGAATTCAAGCTCCAGCACAAGGGGAAGGAAGCCTGTGTGATCTGCAGGATACGTTTGTAGACTTTTATGACAGAAGCAGATACCATACCATTTCAGTCCAATTTTAAAATACAGGCACTGAAATAGATAACCTCCCCCGTCTCCCCCAAATCATCCATGAGCATCACCAAATATTAAAGGTACCTCTCTTCAGGTGATGCTTTGTAAAATTCTCATAATAGTCTCTGTGCTTTTCCCCCCAAGTGGCCATGGATTTTTACACGAGAACATCTTAAATGCTTAATCACGGAGCTTAGCCAGTGTGTATCTTTGTTTCAAAAGGGTTCTCATTTGTCCAAATGAGTTTCCCTCCCAGGGCAGGCACAGCGGGAGTGAACGTGGTCTAAGAATCTTTGAAGGCATGTTTCAGGGAACAAAACCCAGCGGAAGAGCCCCGCTCAGGGATGCTGGCTTAGTTAGCTGTGGGAACTGCCTCCACTGCCCTACCCCTTAAAACAGTTAAGAATCGATGTGTACTTTGTGCATTGTTTCTCTTTCCCGACGGGAAGAAAGCCGTGCGTTGCGAGCACTTTCTGATGCATACAGCGTGAGTTGGTGGGATCCACAGTGCTCTGCAGGCTCCCCAGGTGCTCCCCACATGCAGCCCCTGCACTGCTGCAGGCCCCTGGGTCTGGGTTCCACGGCCTTGCTGTCCACTCGTGGCCTCAAGCTGGCCCGTTTATTCACTTGTGCCGGACACTTCTCTTCACGGGGTGGCCCCAGCCCTGTCCGCTCAGCACCTCAGCTCTAGAGCAGGAGTAGGCTCCACTGCCCCGAGCACAGCTGTGTGCAGGAGCTCTCCGAGCAGACAGAAGGTGGGGGTCATGTTCCAATTTGAGAACAGCGCCCCAACGTCCACATGCCTGCCCTGACGCTGAGTCCCGTTTGGTGGCACATCCAGGTTCCCTGGCACCCTTAGGAGGAGTCACTTGGACCATCGAGGTTCAGAACAAAGGCCCCTGTCCCCAACATGGTGGACAGCTGCCTGTAGCTGTCCTCTGACCGGGCTCACCATCCCGCCCAGGATGAGAACTGGCCGT